CAGCAGGACATGCGTATGTGTCGCGAGGCAATAGTCACGATACGATACGTATCTCTATACACAGTACAGTGAAAAGTGGCTCAATTGTTTCGTTAAAATGTGGAAAATTACATGTATAACAACATTGTCAATAAAAGAAGGAATAAACAACACAACAATTTGAATATTTCGTTTTTTTATGATTTTATTACAAGCTACATGTATCGTTGTTATCTGTCGTGGAGTTGTCCGATTTTTGATCACAACGTTGATAACACTTAATTTCGTTTATGCGACATACTTATTAATGCGACATAATTATTGGCAACCAACTGTGTCAGAATAACAGGACTTGACTGTCCTTAATTTTGGCGTTATTTTGGCGGTGAAATTCACCGTGTTCTGTGTTGCCCTTCTGACAAGGGCTGTTGCTGTTGCTGAACTCGCACGATTATTTATTGAAGCTGCTTCTAATGATATTTTGCAATCGGGATAAACATAAGGTTTCGTGAAAGGCGGGAAGGTAGAGTCCGAGTCGTTGAAAAACTCGTACATATTACTTTTAAAAATCGATACACAATTAAAACATGAATAGAAACATGGTATCTTATCGTCTAAATTCGCGATGCGTCGATGCATCCATGCCCCAATACGGATCATATGTGCTGCTCACTAGTGTAAGCAGACCGCCTCCGTGGTCTAGTGGTAGAGCGACTGCCCGTAGAGCATAAGGTCGGGGGGTTCGATCCCCGGCCGCGTTTTACCAAAAGACGTTAAAAGATTGTACTTGTTGTTACCCTGTCTGGCGCTCGGCCTTAAGGGTATAAAACAATGACTGGTTGACTCGAAGTCAGTATACTGTTTCTGAGTGGGGTATTCATGTTAAACTGCGGCATGGTATCTCATTCGGCTAGGGCTATAAAATCACACACACACACACACACACACACACACACACACACACACACACACACACACACACACACACACACACACACACACACACACGTGCAGCATACCATGCCCCAGATTAACATGAATACCCCACTCAGACACAGTATACTGACTCCGAACCTACAGGCCTTGTTTTATCACCTTAATGCAGTCAGGGTAACAACAAGTGCCCTATTTTTGTATGACGCGGCCAGGAGTCGAACTCCGGACCTTCCGCTTACCGGGCAGACACTCTATCCACCAGACCATGGAGATTACTTATTACTCAGAAACAGTATTCGAAACAAAAACAATCCGTCACTTAAAGCAGTACCAATAGGTAACGTTCCCTGAAAATTGAATTCTTTGTCAATGAGAAACTGATATTTTGAATGTATGAAGGACTGGTTGTAGGTAGGCATTGAACACCCACAGTTGATCCTTAGTCATGTCGCCTCCTATTCCTAGTTATGGCAGCAACCTCCCATGGTCTCTTATAAAACCTTTATCAGCTTTTTAAGAGTTTGACAGCAACCCTTCTTACAGCAACAACTCGTCAACAACGACATCTTGAATATAGTAAATGCAGATATTTTACGGGCTCATGGAACACTTCCATAGTTTAGTCCCCCAGGAGTTATCTCCCCTTAACTAGAAAAAACGTTGCTTATTGAACAGGTGGATTTGGTGAGACCAGCGTGATTCTTGCTCTGTATATTCTTGGCTTGTCTGATCCTCGCTTTACAAAGCAATCTTGATTTATCACTCGACTACCGTAGCTCTCATACACTAGCATTGGTTGTTTCTTGTTTAACGCCGAACTCACTAACATACACTGACATTGACTTGCAACGTCTACCGTAGTTCTAGGATCGTTTAAGGACCTGCTCGATATTGTGAGTAGAAATATATTTAACAATGCTGTTCAAGAAACAGTAAAAACTATTTTTATATCGTGTCAATTTGGTAAATTGGGGACTCTATAAGAACCCAAGAAATCTGGTTTAGGGAGTAAGCTGGGTTTAATACTGCTTTGAATATTGTTTTTTCTCAGTAACATCGCGTTGTGTCGGGCTTATGTGGGAGGAAAGTACAAAGTCAAAAGTCTCATTTACCTCATTTATGAGAGAGAACGTTATACTTACTATCGATTCGAACAGGTATGCTGACGTTTAAATGAGAACAGGTATGCTGACGTTTAAATGAGATTAGGTATGCTGACGTTTAAATGAGAACAGGTATGTTGACATTTAAATGTAAACAGGTATGCTGACGTTTAAATGTAAACAGGTATGCTGACGTTTAAATGAGAACAGGTATGCTGACGTTTAAATGAGAACAGGTATGCTGACGTTTAAATGAGAACAGGTATGTTGACATTTAAATGTAAACAGGTATGCTGACGTTTAAATGTAAACAGGTATGATGACGTTTAAATGAGAACAGGTATGCTGACGTTTAAATGAGAACAGGTATGCTGACGTTTAAATGAGAACAGGTATGATGACGTTTAAATGAGAACAGGTATGTTGACGTTTAAATGAGAACAGGTATGCTGACGTTTAAATGTAAACAGGTATGCTGACGTTTAAATGTAAACAGGTATGCTGACGTTTAAATGTAAACAGGTATGATGACGTTTAAATGAGAACAGGTATGTTGACGTTTAAATGAGAACAGGTATGTTGACGTTTAAATGAGAACAGGTATGCTGACGTTTAAATGAGAACAGGTATGTTGACATTTAAATGTAAACAGGTATGCTGACGTTTAAATGTAAACAGGTATGCTGACGTTTAAATGAGAACAGGTATGCTGACGTTTAAATGAGAACAGGTATGCTGACGTTTAAATGAGAACAGGTATGTTGACATTTAAATGTAAACAGGTATGCTGACGTTTAAATGAGAACAGGTATGATGACGTTTAAATGAGAACAGGTATGCTGACGTTTAAATGAGAACAGGTATGCTGACGTTTAAATGAGAACAGGTATGTTGACGTTTAAATGAGAACAGGTATGTTGACGTTTAAATGTAAACAGGTATGCTGACGTTTAAATGAGAACAGGTATGCTGACGTTTAAATGTAAACAGGTATGATGACGTTTAAATGAGAACAGGTATGTTGACGTTTAAATGAGAACAGGTATGTTGACGTTTAAATGAGAACAGGTATGATGACGTTTAAATGAGAACAGGTATGTTGACGTTTAAATAAGAACAGGTATGTTGACGTTTAAATGAGAACAGGTATGCTGACGTTTAAATGAGAACAGGTATGCTGACGTTTAAATGAGAACAGGTATGTTGACGTTTAAATGAGAACAGGTATGCTGACGTTTAAATGAGAACAGGTATGTTGACGTTTAAATGAGAACAGGTATGTTGACGTTTAAATGAGAACAGGTATGCTGACGTTTAAATGAGAACAGGTATGATGACGTTTAAATGAGAACAGGTATGCTGACGTTTAAATGAGAACAGGTATGTTGACGTTTAAATGAGAACAGGTATGTTGACGTTTAAATGAGAACAGGTATGCTGACGTTTAAATGAGAACAGGTATGATGACGTTTAAATGAGAACAGGTATGTTGACGTTTAAATGAGAACAGGTATGTTGACGATTAAATGAAAACAGGTATGCTGACGTTTAAATGAGAACAGGTATGTTGACGTTTAAATGAGAACAGGTATGTTGACGTTTAAATGTAAACAGGTATGTTGACGATTAAATGAAAACAGGTATGCTGACGTTTAAATGAGAACAGGTATGTTGACGTTTAAATGAGAACAGGTATGTTGACGTTTAAATGTAAACAGGTATGTTGACGATTAAATGAAAACAGGTATGCTGACGTTTAAATGAGAACAGGTATGTTGACGTTTAAATGAGAACAGGTATGTTGACGTTTAAATGTAAACAGGTATGTTGACGTTTAAATGGGAACAGGTAAGTTGACGTTTAAATGAGAACAGGTATGCTGACGTTTAAATGAGAACAGGTATGCTGACAAACCAAGAGTCACAATCAGACCGTATCTAGGATTCGGACCCTTGGTATTTTGTGATCATAAGTTAATACACATAAGAAGAAGAAGAAGAAGAAGAAGGGGAAGAAGAAGAAGAATTTATTCCATAAATAAAGTTATCTTATTTGAAAATATATATCTACAAAATCCAAAAGGAGACCAGACCAACCCTAGAGCTGAGTTAATCTAGGCTTGCCTAAACATTCTAGACTTGAATTGGACTCCTGTTTTAGTAGTAGTAGTAGTAGTAGTAGTAGTAGTAGTAGTAGTAGTAGTAGTGAGGTGAGGTGAAATTAGGTTTAACGTCGCGTCCAAGATTATTGCACTTATATAGCGACGTGCACGGACGTGTGTTTGTGTGGCCGATTTATAGTGCTAGCCCACTGAGATACTAGCCGCAGTTTAACATGAATACCCCACTCAGACACAGTATACTGACTCCGAGCCGACCAGTCCTTGTTTAAGCCCCTTAATGCCGAGCGCCAGACAGGGTAACAACAAGTACCATCTGTTAACGTCTTTTGGTATGACGCGGCCGGGGATCGAACCCCGGACCGTCCGCTCTCCGGGGGACTGGACCACGGAGGCGGTTCCCGGTTCGCCCCGATTATGTTTCTAGGTTTGTCAGCACCATACCCGTGCTCGTGGGTTTCACTAAAGTGGTAAACGTCTGAGATATGCATCACTTCGGGCTTTCCTCCCACATTAAGCTGACACGCCGTGATGTAACTGGTATACTGTTCAAAGCGGCGTTAAACCCAACTCACTGTAAAAAGTAGAGACAACTGTTGACAAGTGAATAATTTTAGACAAATATATTCCTGAAATGAGTTACACTGTGTCAAGTTTACATTCAATGTTTGATCCATTTCCTTTAAATATCTGCTGCATAAACATTTTTTTTTCTCGTCGCGATAATAACGTATCAAAGTACGTCCGAAACACGACCACGACGCCAGATGATGCAACTAACGTGGCAACTTTGACCTCTGAACTCCATCCCCAAGCTTTAGCCAATCAAATTACGGGACACAGACACACCTCCAGACCTTCACCTTGAAGTGAACTTCCGCTGTGAAATCAACATGTTGGTCTGAAATTGATTAATCCGACCAGAGAAGTGTATGACACAGTCCATGTAACGAGAAAACAGTGACTATTTTGAAGCAGCATCGTTACTCCTTAAACAGGTAAATTTCCCATGTATTAACTGACAAGTTCTGAAATGTATCATTTTATTCCGAGGCGCGACATTGCAATTGGTGGCATTGTAGGCTAAACAGTGCACAGCGATGCGCCTAAAACAATGTCAACTGGTTCGTAATGTTTTAATATTTTACACAGATATGACCTATTCATACGTTATTTTAAACGAATGTGTTGTTACTAAAATGCTTATGAACGTTCATTTAGTGTTTTAGAGAACGTGATCGCCAAACGGGAAAGCGATACACGATTATTGTGAGTGACCTATATATTGACAAGATTGTATATCAAAAGGTGACATCTCTGGCTCCGAAACAGGTTGTGACCTACCATGCAAGGGCAAATCTTGTATTGTTATAGACACACTTCTTTTCGGTTCGTCGTTTATTAGCCTTGATATCAATCATCTATCGGGACAGTAATCCACACCTGGTCAGACCCCTTGCAATACAAAACAGCATTGATTGGTAGTGTAACACTATATGACCATCTGAAAGAGATGCTGAAGTAGACCATGAAAATACAATCTCTGAACAGTCTCCCCTATTTGTAATGAACAGTAAGATATAATAATTGAGTATGTGGACTATGAACAAGATGAATGCATCCCAATAAAAGTATGTGTTATGAACTCGTGTATTTGTCATTGACAAACACACAGTGACTGTGATGTTGAGGATTATTGGTACACTTGCTTATACTGGATACCTGTCAGCTAGTTTTGTTTGAGCCTTCTAATAAAGTGGGTCCCGTGAAGATCCGGGGTAGAATAGGTCTTCAGAAACCCATGCTTGCTGAAAAGGGCGACTATGCTTGGCGACTAACAGGACCAGGTGGTCAGGCTTGCTGACTTGGTTGAAGCATGTCATCAATCCCAATTGCATGGATCGATGTTTATGATGTCAATCACTGGATTGTCTACTCCAGACTTGATTATTTACAAACCACCGTCATTTAGCTGGAATATTGCTGAGTGCGGCATAAACTGCAAACCAACCAACCAATCTAATAAACAATCTAACATGACAGGTGGCCATTTGAAAAATAGTGGGATAAAGCTAACAAGCTGATAAAATGACATTTCATGCATTTGTTTGGTTTAATATGAGTGAAGTATGAAATTGAATATCAAAGTAATTCATAAACAACAACATAAAAATATTACTCGAAAATAGAAGTTCCATAATGGCTACCAGCTACATTTATTGAAACGACATTTAAACAAATGTGTTCTTATTCATTAACTTTGGTAGCTGGAAATTACACTTAATAAGCGCCCCGCTCTAATAAGCACCCACGGCGAGATTTGCTGATATATTGGCTAGTGAACAATCCCAGTTAGCACCCCTTCCGACCCCTATTCGCATATAATACACACCGCTTCCTTCCCCTATTCGCGTATACAACGCACTCATGTGTTATATGCACCCTTTATTATTGGCAATTAAATTCTGGAAACATATATCTGTTGTACATAAACATTTCAGGTTGTCGGCATAAACCGTGAAATTTATCTTTAAACTCTGTTTTTTTCACCAAAATAACATTCTAATAAGAGCCCACTTTTTCTAATTTTGAGAGCGCCCTGGGCGTTTATTACGTTGAATACAGTAGTTATAAAAGTATTTATTTCAAGCCCTTGTGCAGATGGGTGGAGGGAGGGAAGCCCCATGCATCTCGCTGAAGATCTAGGACCCCTATATGTATACAATACCTGATGTCCCTTACGATGAGGATTTTGTGGTGTTAAACAATACTCACTCACTCATGATAATAAACAGGATGTTTATGATAATACTGACAATTTATTTTTCCAAATAACAATAATAACAATTTCTTTATTTCACTCTCATCATGCTCATAAACATAATGTTCTTTGATATTAAGATATTGATAATGATATTAATTGTATTGAGGTTTTCCACTTTGCCAGTCGCTATTGTTGAGATATAGAAAGCACTCATAACTTCTAACATGATATGGTTAAACAAAAAATGAAACATTAAATGTTTTTTTTGTTTTTTTTGGTTTTTTTGTATTTTATATTGATTTCCCCCCCAAAGATCATTACCAAACTAAACAATTTTCCCCAACTTAGATTTTCCTAGATTTTTACTGTGCTGTAAGGGGATGCCTTCTGTTCATGAAACAGGAAAAATCATTTCTGTTGCAATTTGTGGTGGGTTATGTAGGATTTGACACCATATTGACTGGACTATCAGCCATGAAATTAGGTTATCGTCACGATATGGCTGAAATATTGCCGATGTGACGTAAAGCATTAACACACTCACACTCACTGATGTTAGGTTATAGTCAGTTTCGGTCTATAGCCTACTGTCTATAGCCAGCCAAAAATATAAAGTAATAGTAAATATCCATGTGATTGGTTTTTATTCACATCCCATATTTCTGGTGATGTATTTAAATTTCATAATGAATTTGTGCAATTATTTTATATTTTATTAAACACTGACTCTCATATCAACTGGTATTCATATATTATTCACAAATACAGTAGCCTGGTAATCAATATGTACATAACAAATTTCATTTATTATTCAAATCAGCATAGCATATACCATGTATACAGACATATTTTTCACTGGTGCACCAAAAAGATGGTTGGGCGGTCGGGTAGCCTATTGGTTAAAGCGTTCACTCATCACACCGTAGACCCGGGTTCGATTCCCGACATGGGTACAATGTGTGAATATTGCTGGAATATTGCTAAAAGCGGCATAAAACCATACTCACTCACTCACTCACTCACCAAAGAGATGATCTGGTATCATTTCGGGTTGTCGTCCTAGGTTGGCAAGAAACTCTTCACAAGATAACTTGGAACAATCTCAGAGATGGTTATAATCATTTCTAGAGCTACTAAGCTACTAATAATGTCATTGACTGTGTTTACTGTTGCTGGGCAACACTTCCAGTGAGTTCTGGAACCTTTCGTATTCTTAACTCTTTCCTTAAGCCAGAATACATCACATGCCTACCACCACGAGTATTGGAGTGGAGCTTAGTTAACCTGTGAGTTTGCCATTTTGTAATGATCAGTGTTGTCAGTGATACCATTATGTATCATTGGGGTTAGGAATTGGTCTGTCTTTGATATCAAATTGATTTAACTCAGTTCAGTAATAATTATAGTATGACTTACTGGCTGAGTGAGTGAGTGGTGTTCAGTTGAAACAGACTTTAGTAAGCCAACCACTAGTCCATGACTAAAACAACATTCAGCCGACTGGCGAAGTGGGAAAGTCATGCAGGTTGAACAGATAACTGGTTTAAACTGAATCTTGTAAATCTTTGTGAGCAGGAAGAACAGTGAAAACTGCAAGTGACTCACGCCCCAATAGCTTCATGACACAGTTAGTTTTGCAGACCAACAATGAACAAGTAATATAATGATGCATATTTATTTAATTCACTTCCACATGTCGTCAAACCAGCCAGTACATGATTGTATGAATAATCCCTCACACACTGTGCCCACACATTGACACTCAGGAGTCAGTAGAGTACCCCTGAGCAGGCCTGACATGCCAGCCACACACGCTACTCCAACCTTCCTTGGCAAATACAACAACATGTTTCTCACGTTGAGATCACTGACTACATAGAGTTACCATTTCATCATGACCCTGCTCACTTAAAACAAAAAAACACGCACCAAAGAAGTGTTGAACTGTTGGTAATCTCATCAACAGGTTGTCGCAAAACTTTCCAGATGCAGCTACTTGCTTCCAACTTCGATTAAACTAAAACATTTATGATAATAGATACAAGGCAATTATGTAGACCTTCTATGCTTGTGTTTACTGTACCAAACCTGTAATATACACAAGTAAATATGGACTGTTGTGTAAAGTCTGGTCTTAGAAGGGGGGCGTTTGTTGGAACAAGGCACTTATTACGGCAAATACGGTGCTTGGACTCAAATCCTAGACTTGCACAGCTCTCTAAGTCAATAATCATTAGTTTGTCATAATATCTAGATTATAGAAATAATAAGGGCAAGTTGTCCATATGAAAAACTGTCACCCTTAGTGTACAGTCCACTTCCCTAGACTTCCCTATTAGCATTTTATATAAGGATAGAATTACTAGACATCCATGATTTTATCATTCAGTAAAGCCATTAAACAAGCCCACTGATATACCAACCAGGGGAGGTAACTCCCATCTTCTCTTCACGAACACCCATGTTGCAGACATGGTTGTTGTTTGTTTGTTTGTTGTTTAACGCCGCACTCAGCAATATTTCAGCGTGAGCATGAGCATCGATCCACGCAATTGGAATCGATGACATGTATCAACCAAGTCAGCGAGCCTGACCACCCGATCCCGTTAGTCGCCTTTTACGGGTTTTTCATGGGTTGCTGAAGACCTATTCTGCCCCGGATCTTCACGGGTCTGCAGACATGGAAGAGGTATGGTACAGCCCCTGGCCATTTTGACTTAGATGATGCTTAGAAAACAAGACATTATTTCGATTGTCTGGCATATTACCATTGGAAGCTGGGTCAGGTTTTAAGACATGGGTGCTCAAGTCCTATTTCCATGGGGGTGGTCTGCTCGTCCTGCCGAAGACCCGAGTTCGATTATCGACATGGGTACAATGTGTGAAGCCCATTTCTGGTGTCCCCCGCTGTGATATTGCTGCAATATTGTTAAAAGCGGCATAAAACCATACTCACTCACTCACTCCTATTTCCGTGTACAATTGACTGTATGCTTTGCTGTTCCAGGGTTAGTTTCAACATGGAAGTCATCAAGAGGAGAATCAACCTGGATGAGCCTCGCTTTGACCAGGGCTCGTACAGTGGCAGGGCCAAACACTTCTTCATCACCACCAACCCCCTGAACCTGTTCGTGTCTGGGAGGCAGCTCGATGATGCCAAGGAGGTCGTGGACAGATGCAAGTGAGTCAATACTGATTTTGTCTGTCCTACTGATTCTGGGTTAGAGTTGGTCCTCAGTAGAGCTGGGACAGGTAACTCGGGTACTCGGGTCGAGTGGGTCCTGAGTAGGACCAGGGTACCCACAGGACTACCCGGACCCGTGGTTAGTCACGTAATATATTGTTTTATATATTTGAATTAAGATAAAATTTCATGCAGTAAACTTTAGTGTATGCATGACCATATCGCTTTACACGTGTATCAAAATACATACAGGGCTACGGTCAAACTTTTCCAAATCGGACAGTTTGTACCTATCTCCAGATATCTACAGCGGGTATCCGGGTAGGGTCGGGTAATTAGGTGATGGGTACCCGGGGAGTAAATTTAGACTCGTCCCAGCCCTAGTCCCCAGCAACCTATGCTGGTTGTACGAGCCGATCAAAATAGGTATCCTGCAGCCTGAAGCTTAGGATCATGTTCTTCAATATCAATTTCTCCTCATATTGTATGATTCTCAGTTTGCCAGCATCCTCACCCCTGTTCGTGGGTGTTCCCATAATTGTAAACATCGAAAGCCTGCATCTTTGGGCTTTCCTCCTGATTTAGTAGACACGCCCTGATATAATGGAAATACCCACCCATGCACGCTCACTCACTCACTCACTCACTCACTCACTCACTCACTCACTCACTCACTCACTCACTCACTCACTCACTCACTCACTCACTCACTCACTCACTCACTCACTCACTCACTCACTCCAAGTTCTCAGCAAACACCATACAGCAAAATGGAAAAGCTGCTGATACAGTATGATTATGATAATGAAATATAGATTGCAGACTCATGGAAAACATTATGATTTTTCATATCTTCATTTAAATAAGAAACTAGGAACAGATGGCAAAGTATTGATGATTTTTCTATATTTGACGTTCATATTTTCATTCGACCGACCACTCAATATCTGATGGTTTAGGGGGCATGAGTGGCCCTGTCGTCCAAGGCGTCGCAATTCGCTGTGCAGATCTGCATCCTATGATCGTGTGTTCGAAGCTTAGTCCACCCTGATTATGTTTCTAGGTTTGTCAGCACCATACCTGTGCTCGTGGGTTTCACCAAAGTGGTAAACGTTTGAGACCTGCATCACTTCGTGCTTTCCTCCCACATTAAGCTGGCACACTGCAATATAACTGGAATACTATTAAAAGCGGCATTTAACCCAACTCACTCTCTCACTCTGATGGATAAGAGAAACAAACATAAACCAATACAAAAATCATGCAAAATGTAGGTAACTATTAACTTTTCCAGTGATCATGGTAATAACTGATCAAATGTATTGTGTGGCTGCAAGTCTCTTTATCAAGAGAACAAAATCTTCACGGAAGTAAAAATTCTACATGTTACCATGGTTACTAAAGTTGTTCTAAACATCCTGCACATAAGGCGGAAGCCTTTATTTTGAACAAATTCAAAAAAATCTTTTTTTAACAAGTTGAGATTACATATACATTATTTTGACTGTCTCCCACTAATGGCTATTTAGGTAGAAAACAATTGTAAATAATAAAATCACAAACATGTTGCCTACAATAAAACTGGATTTTATTTCATGAACAATAAAATAAATTAAAATTTAAAATGTAGCTTAACATGCTCAATGTTCCCAAGCAAGGTCAAGGCTATTTACACTCATTCAAAACACAAATTTGGTATAAAAAAGTGTTTCCCATCATCTTTTGCATTCCATATCCATTTTAAAGTTTTAATGAGCTGATACCAGTCGTGCCAATAGCACTGATACTGACACAGCCTCGATGAAGTCATTGAAGCCATGACGAGCCATTCTTGGGCTGTCTTGGCCATGTGTTCGCGATTGATCGAATCGATCTAATGAGCTACATTCCCACGCTGCCCTCATCTGTCAGTGAAAATTCAGATAAAATTGACCATGAGGCAATATTGGAGGCTCTAGGTTAAACTGTCTTCCACAGAACATAAGATCAATTTCTTCTTGGCTTTGCAATGAGAAATTGAAGTTCACCAGCTATTATTAACTGCTGATGTGAATGTGTTGGGAAAGGGCTTGTTGAGGTATAAGACACAGGTTCTTATTTTTAGTTTAATTCTTCAGATAGACCTTTTTTTCTATTTTTATGGATAAAATGTGATACATTTTTCAAAAGTGAAAATTTAAATAAATACTTAAACAGTAGTTAAACATGTAAAATTGATAGAAAATGTGCTTATTTTAAAATATTAATTGTTTGAATATTTTTTATAAACTTTAAGTTTTTAATTATTTTTAATGTGAAAAGTTTCATTCATCATGTTCATTTTCCCTTCAGCACCTTTGCATATTGACCGAAAAGTCTGCGAAACGGTCTTGTCTTATGCAAGAATATTGTGATTATTGTATTTGGGTGCTAGGGTGGAATGGTTTTAAGAAATAGATGATTTATATCAACATATATTTATCATATTTATTCTTCATGTTCTTAGCGGGGACACAGGTGGCCTAGTCATCAAAGGCGCCACAGTATTCTGTGCAGAGTTGGTCCCATAGACATGCCAGAAACCTATGATTGTGGGTTCGAATCCTAGTTTGCCCCGTTTGTGTTTCTAGGTTTGTCAGCACCATACCCGTGCTCGTGGGTTTCACCAAAGTGATAAACATCTAACACCTGCATCACTTCGGGCTTTCCTCCCACATTAAGCTGACACGCCACGATATAACTGGAATACTGTTAAAAGCAACATCAAACCCAACTCACTCACTCACTCACTCACTCACTCACTCACTCACTCACTCACTCACTCCAAGTTCTCAGCAAACACCATATAGCAAAATGGAAAAGCTGCTGATACAGTATGATTATGATAATGAAATATAGATTGCAGACTCATGGAAAACATGTTAATAATAATAAATATTAATGATAAAATATACAATATGGTAGTCTCTCTTTATCATGTTTATTGTTTACATGTGACATGTATTTGAATCCCGTGAAGATTCTGGGTTAGAATGGGTCTTCAGCAACCCATTTTTGTCGTAAGAAGCGACTAACAGGATCAGGTGGTCAGGCTCACTGACTTGGTTGATGCATGTCATCGTATCCCAATTGCGTTGATCGATGCTCATGATGTCATTCACTGGATTGTCTGGTCCAGATTCAATTACTTACAGACCGCTGTCATATACAGTCAAGTCTTGTTAATTCGACACACGTTAATCCGACAGTCTCTCACTCTGACTCCGACACACCAAATTTGCAACTAATTACCAAAATCACTCATTAATCAGTCTCGTTAATCCGACACAGTGATCAGCGTCCTCTGTGGTCATCTGCCCGCAAGTACACAGCCCCGTGTTTTGATGCGAAACAGTCGTCAAGTCGCTGCATATTTCAACTGCCACAGAGATAAACTTGCTTAACAATAAACAATTACTGCTTTTAATAAACAAAACAGGATTAATCACATGCCTTGTTTACCTTAGTCTCATAAAATCGGATACAAGTTCTCGCTACCGCTGAAGACATCCCATTACAGGTCATGTCAGTACTAAGAGGAAGTCAACATTAGCCACAAAGAAAGCAGCTTTCTTAATCATTGCGGCACTAGTTTCAAATTGGCGACTTCCATTCCAGACTATGCTTTAAAAAGTATTTTGAATCAGTCATACATTGTGTTAAACTTTAGACTGCTTGCATGATTAGAAAACATATTCTGCTAACAATGTAACATAACAATATGAATACCGTATTCGACGTAATAAGCGCCCACGGCAATATTTGCTAATATATTGGCAAGTGAACAAACCCAATTAGCACCCTTTCCGACTGATAAATGTACACAAGACTTATTTATTCGTGTATTATATGCTCTCGTGTGTTATATACACCCTTAATTATGGGCAAATAAATTCTTGAAAAATATATCTGTCGTATATAAACATTTCAGGCTGTCAGCATAAACCAAGAAATTTATCTTTTAACTATGTTTTTTCACCAAAATAATATTCTAATAAGAGCTCCCTATTTCTAATTTTGAGAGCACCCTGGGCGCTTATTACGTCGAATACGGTATTGCCTTTCTCCTCTTTTTTTATTACAATGTGTTGGAACCGTTATCTATCTTGTAGTTATCCGATTTTCGATCACTAACGTTGATACTACTTAATTTTGTTTATCCGACATACTCGTTAATCCGACATAATCATATGCAACCAACAATGCCAGATTAACGGGACTTGACTGTAGCTGGATTATTGCTGAGTGCTGCATTTAACAAGAAACAAACAAATAAACATGTTACTTGCATATCTTTGTTTGCAAGCATCTCCCAGCACATCATCATTGGTCAACTAACTAATTCAGCTAATAATTTCAAACACTAGATGTGGGCAGTCATCTGTCAGTTAGCATGGTTAGAGCACCGAAAATACTTTTGTCCAATGGGTGGCCACTATTTTGGTCAGGTGGAGTACATTTATATGTGATAAAGTAAAAATGGTGTAGTATAAACTGCTTCATCACATTGTATTTTATTTGAAATGTGAATAAAGATTTAAATTAAAAAAAATAAAATAAAGTGCTTCATAAAACTTGTATATTTTATCATGACATGCCTTAAACACTTGAACTGCACAAACCATACTGATTACTTGTTTACTTCAGCAGTGTGCTTCAAATATGAATGGTGTGAGATCTGCAGTGGCAAGTTCGTGAAATTCTAGTATTTTCCTGTGCTCTGAGCTAGATGGAGAACTTGTACCAGTTCTTTATCAGGACATAAACATAGGCAGAGAACAAAGGGTGATGCGACAGTATTTTTAGGGACTGACCATGTGATATTCTGGGTAGGGGGGTGGGGGGGATGTTTGCTTGGATTTTGTTTCGAGATTCATTAGTTTTTCAGTTACAGCGACAAAGCCAGATATCTTACTTAAAACAATGGGCCTGAATTATTTTTTAAGAAAAACAGAATTAAAGAACATCAACAATACGATTTTTGTGGCAGGCAGTTTCTTCTTTTTTTTGAAAACAATTTTGTTTATATTAAAGTCCTAGGCCCCACAACCCACCACACCCACACCCACACCCACACCCACACCCACACCCACACCACACCCACACCCAAACCCACACCCACACCCACACCACACCACACCACACCACACCACACCACACCACACCACACCACACCACACCACACCACACACCACACCACACCACACCACACACCCCTGTCTCGCCAGAGTATCAAATGGTTAGTCCCTTACATCCTAATAAAGTACTGGCACTCAATGTCTATCTATTGCTAAGACTATAAGTAATCCATCAGTCCTCAGCTTAATTTAACCCATAGCACTCATCAAATTTATACATAATATGTGGATGATAATTTGTAAATCCATTAGCAAGGTCTGTGTCTTTCTGCAATATGCAAGGACAACATTGCTATTCTAACATGGTTAACAGCTGTTGTGTTTATTGAATGGATAAAGTAAAACAAATTGTATATTGTGGAACAGCTAACACTTATTGTGCATCAATGTAGGCCTATATCATAGTATATGTGTTTAATAATTACTCATTTATCATGGTCATTGTATGTCAATGAATATTTGTATAACAATTTTCCACTTGTTGTATGTCAGTGTTTATGTGTAGATAAAAAAATATATATGTTTCCAGTCTTTTGGTTTGGCCAAAACTGAAGTGATGATGCAACTTAAGAAAAAACCATTTCTTTTTCAAGCTCATGTGCATGACTCACCAACACCGAACCAAATGGTAGAATCTTCACATTCTTCATAGTCTCACAGTAATTCAAGTTAATTAGACACACTCCGGCGCAGTGGTGACTCAGCATAACACCACTGCCACAGGCTAATTTGCATATCACGTGACTGGATTTTTCTCTTGTTTGTAAACAAATGCGCTTTTTCAGAAATCAGTACAGAACGGATTAATGCAAGTATTACGGGGCGCTTTACATACTGTTTTGCATAATTATATAGATATGCTACTACCACTGGGAAAGTGAATTTCATGACAATATATATTTATACATCAGAGTGACCATATCGCTAGCTCTCCGCTGGGCTTCAATGACAGCATGTGGAGCCATACAACCAATGTAAACAAAGGATAACTACGCAAAAACAAATAGATTTTCACGTATTAGTATACTTTCTTAATGAACTGTAACCATTCTTTGACATTTGTTTATGAAAATGTGTAGACTTGTCAAACATGAAACGGATGAAAAGCATATGCAATATCTTGAATGGAATGTGAAAGATGTGACGAATCGTCACATGGCACTGGCCTGTGGCAGAGGTACTATGCTGGCTGGCTGCCGGTCGCTGCCAGTCGCATTGAACTCTGGGTAGGAGAGTGTTAATTAGAGTGATGTTTTGGGAAAACGGGTTAGAGTTACCTGCCCTTGATTAGCCTAAAAATACAGAACCCGTGCAGGGGTTGAAACTGACAGGGGTGGGGCCAGAACCATAAAACATGTTTTTTCCTTACAAATGGTAATAATAGGAAGAGCCTGATATTGTATAAATTAGCTACAGATTTATACAGAGGTTGTATAAGCCCGGAGTAGTGCACACAAGGCCAAGATTGGAGATGTACTCTTTCTGCAAAATTTAGAATCCTAATACCTTACTTCCTGTGTATCTTATTGATATTACCTCAAACCTAGTTTGTCTCAAGGTCCCAGAACCATGTTATCTTCCCTTCCAGCCAGCCCTTACTGTAATGCTATAGCCCTAAGTGAAGCAAGTCTAGATTTGCCTCAGGTTCTGAGTCTCCCATCTCACAGTCCCAGAACCATGTTATCTTCCCTTCCAGCCAGCCCTTACTGTAATGCTGTAGCCCTAAGTGAAGCAAGTCTAGATTTGCCTCAGGTTCAGGTTCTGAATCTCCCATCACACTGGGGCTCCTTTTCAATTTTAATGTAATTGTTGTTTCAGAAACTACCTCATACCATGCAAGCAACCATAATAACAAGTATCATATTGGTGTTTAGGACATTTCTACACACTAGTTAACCAGCCCAGGGCAAGACTTCTCAGGACCCTGTGAGGGAAGCATATTATTACAGATATTAGCAACACCCTTAGAAAACGTCATGAAAGTTATCAGATGTGTTCATGTGGAAGAGAATAAGAATTTGTCCATTTCAATTTTTCAGAGCTCCAGATAAGCTGTGTTTTTGCGTAAAATACGCATCCGAAATGCAGAAATACGCAGTCAAATAAAATCCAAGCTTATCAAATACGCAACGAACATTACAGATACGCTACAAAAATAATACTTGTGCGTATCATCAAAATATAGTGAAGTAACCCTGCTTTTCGATTGGCTAATCAGCAACATATTTTAAAATTATAAACGGGCATTCCATCAACCTTGCCAAACTCCACGATGATAGTTACATCATGATCATTTGCCATCACAGTTTCTTGTGGAAGTATCATGGTATTTTTGAGTCCTATAAAGCTCTCGAACCCACACGACATCAGTTTGCAGGGACTAGATGAATAGTGTTTTTAAATATTTAACTAAATACCCACATGTGTAAAAACTAGTGGGTAACAGAAATTTGAATACCCAGATAGAATTACTGATACCCAATGATTTTAAAATGCATGGGTAAAATACCCACAACACCAAAAGCTTATCTGGAGCTCTGAATATTTGCATATTTCATACATATAAAAGTACCAAGTGAATATGTAAAGCTGAAATGTCAAAAAGGTGGGTTTTAGATTTTTTGTAATTTTTGAAATATGTTTTTGTGGGAATACTGATTAATCTAGAACTATGGGAACAATAAAAGCTTTTTTTAAAAAAAACCAAAAAAACAGAATAAACATGAATTATATATTTTTTTTAAATAATAAAATATTTGAAGGTGAGGAAGTAGTTGACCCAAGCTGATTTAGTTTGGCGATGTAGACAGAGACATTACATACATCTGTACACATGGTACTACATTCATCTTGGGTCATGGACATTCTCATGCTTAGATTTTCACTAGATGTTTTAATCTTCTTTGCCTTACTCTTGAATTTGATATATCAGAAGTCAAAATGTGCAATAAAGCAAAACGGCTAGTTGTCAACCATGGCTGAAAATGTTTTTGCTAATATTTCAATTTTCAAATTTAAACTTTGACATTTCCAGTGGGTGTAAAACACACCTGTCCTATCTCATTTTTATACATAACGCAGAATCATGACAAACTGAAAGCCCTGACTGTACAAGGCCACAATGGTGAAGCAAGGAGGAAATATCTAAAGAGAAAACCTCTAATAAAAATGTTTTTGTTTCAGACGAGGAGATCCTTTGTCGAACTTGAGTGATGATGAGATATGGAAAGCCAAACAGTTGTATGACTCCGCCTTCCATCCCGACACAGGGGAGAAGATGTTTATCCTCGGACGTATGTCGGCTCAAGTCCCGATGAACATGTCAATAACAGGCTGCATGATGACGTTCTACAAGTAAGAGTTGCTCCCCTTGCTCATAGTGCCGTGAGAGGCGGACTGTCATCCATTGTTGCTGACTAACACTGGAAGCTACTTAAGCCTGACGCTACACCGTGCTTTAGCTTCCCTACCTTATACAAACAGACTATAGGCCCACCCAGACAGCGTCCGCCTCCTCCGCCTTACCGTCAGGCGCCACTGTCTACGCTGTGCCTGCAGTCACACAGTGAAGAATATGAGGGGGCCAAGGGGGATAACTCATGGTTGTCAAGGCAGGGGCTGTAGTCTGTTTCAACTGTCTCTTCAATCCAATACTGTCTGTTTGTATAAGGTAGCGAAGCTAAAGCACTGTGTCGCATCAGGTATGCATAAAAACATTGGATTTAATTAGGAGATAAACATACTGTAGAGCAAGATTACCTGTAGATTTAACAGTGCTAAATTGAATTTGGAACCGAACACGCAGTATGTGAAAACACAGTATGTTTATCTCCATTCTACCATGACTAAATAAAATGTGAACGCTTTGGTGTTAGCAAATATACTGAGTGAAGCGGCATGGGTTGAGTTCAGTGTTTTGAGTTTACCGATCTGAATTACGGAATCACCGAACAAAATATGGCGCTGTATATACTCAAGCAGTTTGTTTACACCGTAATACTTCACTCGAACATATTACAGGAATTGAAAGGATATAAGCACGGCAACTTGGTAAGCTAACATGAGGTGGGCATCCCTAAAGAAAACAAAGCAAGCTTTGCAAGGCTTTCGCTCCACATCGCATGCCACCATTATGACGTCATATCGCTCATTGTGACGCAAAAGATATGACGTCACAGTCGTATATAGAAAAGTGCCAAAATTCCAAGCTTTCTGTTGTCTCCAAAACCTAAATACATTCCCTTTGTCGATTTCTATCGTGTTTTCTGCACGAAATGTATTGCCACACATCCTTTGAATATTGTAGTAACTGCATCTGTGCATTTTGTAACCTGTAATTGTAGCTATAATTATTTAAATATGCCTACCGACAATGACTGAAATAAGTGCTATTCTATAAATATTAGCTTCCGCAGTGATGCAACCGTCAAACCAGCTGTTTCAATCAGAGGGAGTTTATTGTGATTTAATAGCCTCTGATTGACCAATCAGAATCGAGTAAATTCCAAATTCATGGTAGAATCGGAATGATCATTTATGAAAAAAGACAACATAGACTGATAGAGTTACGGTATGGTCCTTCAATCTTAAACTCCTCAATCTCAAATGTCTGCCTATCTCCACCAAACCTTCAGTTCCCTAATGTTTGATATAACAATATATTTGTATGTAACATATATGTCAAATTTTGAGATTCACATTCACACGATAACTCAAAATTAGAAATGATTCCCTAGTCACTTAAATACTATATAATTTGTATTTTTATCTCAAACTCAATTGGATTATTTTTAATGATTCATGTGGATGCACATTCCTCAGCTCAACAAGACATTGTACCAACATTTACTGGCAGCACATAAACAATGAGTTCATATTGAACTATTGCTAAATAAACATCCACATTTGATATTTGCGTTTCATGATTCGGTAAACTGTGGTCAAGCAGTAATGGTCGATATGAATAATGATCACAAAGTAATCTTGCCTTGTGAGACGTAAGCACAGTGCTTTCACAATCAGCATTTCACAATTGTCATTGGACTTTCAAATTTTGTATGTGGAATCAGAATGTGTGATCAGTGACTGTTTAGCTCACCTGACTGAAAGTCAAGTGAGCTTATGTAGTGGCACATAGTCCTTCATCTGTCCATCCATTCATTTTCAACCTATCCCCCGAAGCTACAAGACCAATGGAGGCTAATCTTGGTATCACTGATCCCAGCTATGATGTCTCTAACACCTGCTCGGGCGGTCAGGTAGCCTAGTGGTTAAAGCATTCGCTCGTCACGCCGAAGACCCGGGTTTGATTCCCGACATGGATACAATGTGTGAAGCCCATTTCTGTTGTCCCCTGCCGTGATATTGCTGAAATATTGTTAAAAGCGGCATAAAATCTTAATTTTAAATTTGTTCATAAGTCGGGCGAGCTAAAGAGCCTTTTGGCCCCGTTTGTGAATTCCAGTTTCTGATAAATGTGTAGAAGCATGTGACATGTAAACTGGTACTCAGGCGTACTTGTGTTCAGAGACTCGGGTGAATAAAGAACTGAAAATAGATATTGGTCTCAGATGATTAGGCAACCCATGCGACCACCATGACGAAAGGTCAAAATCAGTGTTTGGACATGATATACATAATCCCCTAAACATGTTGAACAATGTTCAAAGACTGCAAGATGGCCATGACAGTGGTCAAAAACTTGTTTCATCTGTTAAGTTTCAACTCATTTATCAGAAGTGATCAGAATGTAAATCTCAAATCTTTTCACACCTAAAGGTCTAAAAGATGTTGAAATATTGAATGGCAGGAACAAAAGATGACTTTTCAATGAGTCATTTGTTACAATATTTGTGTTTTCAGAACGACTCCAGCAGTGCTGTTTTGGCAATGGTTCAACCAGTCGTTCAACGCCATTGTCAACTACACCAACAGGAGCGGCGACTCTCCGATATCACCCAAGTCAGTACACTTGAAGGCAGTAGCGTTCTCTGCATCCTCTGTTAGTCAGCGTATCATACATCCATGTAGTTATTAAATATGACGATATGTTTGGACACATTCAACACCATTGCTTCTAGATTAAGGCTGAGACGACTCCAAATTTAATGCCCAGGTACCCGTTGTTAAAATAGACACACAAACGTTCTTCATACACACTTGTATTCTTCAGTCAACCCAAAACGCTTCCTGCACCCACAGGTGTTGTCAATCACTGCCATCCTGAGGCAAAACAAGATGGCTGCCATAAAGTCATTCCCAAAGCATAGAGGGTAGTTTCGTATTTAAGGGAAAGTTTCGTACCCACATATTAACACGTCACAGCCGCATTCTCCATAACTTTTAACTAAGAAAGCAGAGGATTTCTGTCCCTCATGACTTGAAATCATCAAGCAATCACAGACAGCAATCTTAGCCACCTTCTGTTATGTCTGTGTTAGTCTGTTTAGAACATGCGACTATCAATTGCGTGGATCGATGCTCATGATGTCAATCTCTGGACTGCCTGGTCAAGACTCGATTATTTACTGATATAGCTGAGTGCGGCATTAAACAACAAACAAACAAACCATTTAGAACATAAACTAACAAAAGTGTACATCATCCGATGTCCCCCTGGTTTTGCCGTGACCAGTGACTACATACGAAGTGTTTCATCTTCAGTGATTACAAAAGGAAATACTGGTAGTTATTTCAATTTTGTGTTTGCATCTTCTTTGTGTTCTAATCAATCATTTGGGTCGAATCTTCAAGCAGAATAATGAAAAAAAGTGGTGCCTTATTTAGATGCAATTTGTGACAGTAAAAGCTGTCATTTTCTTCACCGTACCCGGTACAAAGTTTGAACCCTGTGGCACTTTCAGGCATCTGGGCATCTCGTATATGCTGGCCACTGGCGGAGCGGTCACAACAGCGCTGACGCTCAACAGTATGGTGAAGGTAAGGTCAGAACATCTCCCATTGTGACAGCAGACTGGGGGCTGCATCTTCATCATGAGACTCCGGTCATCACTTGGCCAGCTCATTACAATCAGATCATTGTTCCTTTACAATAGACCCGTGAAGATCCGGGGTAGAATAGGTCTTCAGCAACCCATGCTTGCTGTAAAAGGCGACTATGCTTGTCGTAAAAGGCGACTTGATGCATGTCATTGATCCCAAATTCGTGGATCGATGCTCATGATATTAATCACTGGATTGTCTGGTCCAGACTCGATTTTCTACAGACTGCCGTCATATAGCTGGAATATTGCTGAGTGCAGCGTTAAACAACAAACAAACAAACAAAGTGTCCGAAATCACAACTCACTCAGCAGCAAAATTGGCATTCCTGAAGTTGACATTCATCTTTTCTTCCAGAAATTCCCTCCTCTGATTGGACGGTTTGTGCCCTTTGCTGCTGTTGCCTCGGCCAACTGCATCAATATCCCCTGCATGAGGAGCAAGTACGTAGCAGTCAGCAGAGACCATTCCGCGCTGGCAGTCGGCCATTTGGCTGGAACAGTAGTCTTTCATTTTATGTTTTGCAGAATGTTCCACAAATATTTGAGTACCTCAACATTTGTACTCTTTCCTGATTGGACCGCCTCAGTGGTCTAGTGGTAGAGCATCCGTCTGGACAGCGGAAGGTCCGGGGTTCGATCCCACGCTGCGTCATACCAAAAGACGTTAAAAGATGGTACTTGTTGTTACCCTGTCTGGCGCTCGGCATTAAGGGGCTAAAACAAGGAGTCAGTATACTCAATCTGAGTGGGGTATTCATGTTGAACTGCGGCATGGTATCTCAGTGAGCTATCACTATAAATCGGCATCAGTCCGGACTAGTACAAGCAGCCACACAAACACACACACGTACATGCACGTCGCTATATAAGTGCAATAATCTTGGACGTGAGGGTAAACCCCATTTCACCTCACCTCACAACTTTGAGGAAGCCATCAAGCACAACCCAAAGACTGGAAGATCTAAAGTAACACATGACCAAAATATGTCATAATGGGTCCCCTTTACTACATTTTGTCCATTGTTTAAAACTACCAATAAGGACTTGGTGTAGAAAGACACAGTGATGCAAACAGAATGATAATGTGAGCCTCGTTTAAGGATTAAGCAATTCCAGGAACTGCTCGATGCCTACTTTAGAGATACTGTGTTGTTTCAGGGAGCTAATGAATGGAATCCCAATATTAGATGAGAACGGGAACCGTGTGGGGACGTCCACACGAGCTGCAACGTCTGCTATATCCCAGGTGGTCGTGTCCAGAGTGATGATGGCCACACCAGGAATGTGTGAGTAGACCGACAGCTGTGTATTGGTTGGTCCAGGGTGATGGCTACGCCAGGAATGTGTGAGTAGCCCGACAGCTGTGTATTGGTTGGTCCAGGGTGATGGCTATGCCAGGAATGAGTGAGTAGTCCGACAGCTGTGTATTGGTTGGTCCAGGGTGATGGCCACGCCAGGAATGTGTGAGTAGTCAGACAGCTGTGTATTGGTTGGTCCAGGGTGATGGCCACGCAAGGAATGAGTGAGTACTCCGACATCTGTGTATTGGTTGGTCCAGGGTGATGGCCACGCCAGGAATGAGGGAGTAGTCAGACAGCTGTGTATTGGTTGGTCCAGGGTGATGGCCACGCCAGGAATGAGTGAGTACTCCGACAGCTGTGTATTGGTTGGTCCAGGGTGATGGCCACACCAGGAATGAGGGAGAAGTCAGACAGCTGTGTATTGGTTGGTCCAGGGTGATGGCCACGCAAGGAATGAGGGAGTAGTCCGACAGCTGTGTATTGGTTGGTCCAGGCTGATGGCCACGCAAGGAATGAGTGAGTACTCCGACAGCTGTGTATTGGTTGGTCCAGGGTGATGGCCACACCAGGAATGAGGGAGAAGTCAGACAGCTGTGTATTGGTTGGTCCAGGGTGATGGCCACGCAAGGAATGAGGGAGTAGTCCGACAGCTGTGTATTGGTTGGTCCAGGCTGATGGCCACGCAAGGAATGAGGGAGTAGTCAGACAGCTGTGTATTGGTTGGTCCAGGGTGATGGCTACGCCAGGAATGAGTGAGTAGTCCGACAGCTGTGTATTGGTTGGTCCAGGCTGATGGCCACGCCAGGAATGAGGGAGTAGTCAGACAGCTGTGTATTGGTTGGTCCAGGGTGATGGCCACGCCAGGAATGAGTGAGTAGTCAGACAGCAGTGTATTGGTTGGTCCAGGGTGATGGCCACACCAGGAATGAGTGAGTACTCCGACATCTGTGTATTGGTTGGTCACAATGGATCCTGGGGGGGGGCGGCTCATACAGTAGTGAACACCTCGCACTGTTTTTGATTACAGGTAATTGTTGTTGTTTTTTTTACCAGTAAAATAAAACTTGGACTGGGAATTTCAGACAATGTCGGTCCCTAGGATCAGAATACATATTTATGGCTACATCACAAATAGTCATTCTCATAAAATTACATCCGATAAAATATCTATAAATGAAGGTGGCACTGTTCTTACAAAATGTTTTGGCTAAAAACAGCAGGACTTAAACACATGAATGTTCTAGAAACTTTAATGTTGTTGTTTTGTGTTTCAGTGATTCCACCATTTATTATGAATCATCTAGATAAGAAAGAATTTCTCAGGGTGAGTAGATTAAATTTCTCCTCAAGATTCTTTTCAAATTATGTTCAATCTTAATTATTAACTAACTGCATTTTAAATATTTAGTAGAATAGCAAGTTCTTCTGAACTGTTTTGTTATACAAGTCCTTCAGCTGAAGTGTGTCAAGTTGAGGACACAAACACTCAAGCTTTTGTTCTTGTTTGCCTAAACAAATCTGCCATTTTGTTTCCAGAGAATGCCATGGTTGAATGCACCCATACAAGTGATGCTTATAGGATTTTTGTAAGTATAAAAAATATATGTAAATTAAATATTACCTTATACACTGAACAAGATCTGAATAGATTTTAAATAATTTTTTCTGTCTAGTTCAAATGGAAATGTTTGTGAAGTTTTGCTGATGTTTATGATGAGGTGTGCACTAATAACTGTTACATGAGTTGACACTCTAGTAATTCTTCTCTTTCTTTCCAGCCTTGTATTTGCCACCCCTCTATGTTGTGCACTATTTCCTCAGAAAAGGTGAGTTTTATTCATACACACGTTTGACATTCAACCATGATGTTTTATCACAGGCCTTTACAGACATACTGAGGGAAACAAATAAGGGAACACCATTACATTGCAGTGTCCCTTTATTTATTCCCAGATTTTTACCCACAGTGACATCCATAGCTTGGGAACAAAACCTGGAAAACAATAAAGGAGCACTTGTATTTTCATGTGTTCCCTTATTTGTTTCCCTCAGTATATATCCAGGATCATTTCATCATGTATGCTACTTGTTATTTCATAAAACAAGGTGGCGAGGGTCATTGTTTACGGTACAATAAACACGCTGCAGAGAGAATAAATCACTCATGGTTTATTCTCCCTGCAGTGTTTTATTGTACATAAACAACTCCCACTTGCGTTTATTTCTTAAGTAAATGTTAAATTATTCATAAACAATGGGTCAAATAGGGTCCCTTTCCAACCCTTATCCTTTCAGAAAAGAAATAGAAGATTCCGTGTAGAATAGGTCCCATGCTTGCTGTAAAAGGCAACTACGCTTGTCGTAAGTGGCGACTAAAGGGTTGGGTGGTCAGGCTCGCTGATTTGGTTGATGCTTGTTATCGTATCCCAGCTGCGTGGATCGATACTCATGATAATAATCACTGGATTGTCTGGTCCAGACTTGATTATTTACAGACCGCCGTCATATAGCTTGAATACTTCTGAGTGCAGTTTTAAACAACAAACAAACAATCAAACAGAAAAGAAATAATTCTCGTCTTTTTTTATTTTTAGTTCCATGGCAGTGAGCAGTCTAGAACCGGAAATCCGTGACAAACTGTTGGCTCTACCCTCGCCACCAGCTAGGGTCTACTTCAACAAGGGCTTGTAAACATGGCAGTATGTTGACATCGGGCCATGCTACACACCTCGTCAACACTCATGGCTTGGTACACTAAATGTTCCTCCGTTACCCGTTAATACAGTCAGCTCTGTGGTGTAATAGTGACATATGTCTATTTTTAGTCTGGTGAGGTGAGTGAGTGAGTGAATATGTTTTACGCCACTTTAAGCAATATTGCAGCGTTGTCACGGCTTCACACATTGTACCCATGTCAGGAATCAAAACCGTGTCTTCGGTGTGACGACAAACAATTTAACCACTAGGCTACCCAACCGCCCCTGGTAAGGTCAAATGGGGTTTAATATCATATTACGATTAATGCACTTATATAGTGATGTGCTTACATGTGTGTGTATCTGTCTGTCTGTCTGTCTGTGTATCTGTGTGTCCGGAATGATGCTAGTTTCATAGTGTTGTCCACTGAGATCCCATGCAGTTTAACATGAATACCCCACTCAGACACAGGGTACTGACTTCAAGCCGACCAGTCCTTGTTTTTTCCTCTTAATGCAAAGCATCAGGCAGGGTAACAACAAGTGCCATCTTTAAACGTCTTTTGGAATGGCGTGTCCGGGGATGTGACCTTCCACTTTCCGAGCAGACGCTCTATCCACCGGACAAAAGGCGGCCTTGAATCAGGAAATGACGTGAGCCAGTGTATACTTCATGGAAGTAAAACTAGCCTTCCTCCATCCGTGACCTTTGTGTGAACCCTAAGATTTCCTGACATTGAGGCAATGTTTAACGTAAGCGGGTCAAGGCTGTGGGGCATGGTGCCAGTGTTTAAAATTAAATAAATTGCCAGACTGCCATCAGGACCCACAGACTTTGGAATCTGCAGGCCCTGACTAAACTCTTCAGGGCGCCGTTCCACTAACCGATCTCAACGCTAAGACGATTGTAACTCCCAAACTTTAACAAAGACTTATGACAGTCATAGTGCTAGGATTGCAAGGAGGAACAGCTTCCAGACCAATTTATAAAACTAAAGTTTTTTGTGACAAATAATATCAACACATAAATTCACTGCATGCCTGAGAACCCGTTCAAGTTAGAAACTACAGGCCCGGCACAAGATCTACTTGCCACAGGCCTACGGGCAGCTGGTTATTTTTAACTCTGCATGGTGCCCGAGAAATATTGCTGATGTGATCAGAACACTTCATGGTCTGAATACCCGCTGGGTTCCCCACAAAGAAACCATTTGTCTTGTTTGTTAAACATAGCGACAACACAGCAAATCGTCCGCATGTATTGAGGGTGATGGCGGAATGTAGTGTATGGAAACTTGTGATGTATTGACGATATGCTACACAGATCTGGAAACGGAACTCACTCCAACATTTTAGTACGACCACATACTACTAAGTACAACTACCATCAATCAAAGGAGAGAAGCACTGGGACATTTATTAGGCAGAAAATGTAAACTGTGTTTTTTCAACAATTGCTTTTGAAACACTGGTTTTACTATCTGTATTTTGATAATATCCTGCCTGGTTTTGGTGTTTTGAGTTGTGAGAACAAAGAATATTGTTTTCTATCTTGGGCCAGACCATTTTTTTTGGTTTTAACAGATTTTCATCATCAATATCCTTTAGACAAAATAGAAATATTAAAAAAGGGTTCTTAACTGAGGTTGATAATTTTACATAAAAGTTTGAACATAAATACAAACAAAAACCTTTATAACAAAAGCATATATTTAATCAAACACCATTATTCGTATAGAAGATATTGACAAATACAAAAATTATATTTGATAATTGCATATTTTCAATGAAACAGCATTTGTTTTTGCATGCAACTTCTTTTTAAAAAAAAAAAAACAGGAAAAAAATGGTCTGGCCTTACAGTGTACTGTGAAACCTGGTTAATCTGGACCCCCTTAATCCAGAAACCCTATCTTCCAAATGATTACTGCTGGAAACACATTCATGTGTACAAAGGGACATTACTCCGTTATCACGATGTGTTTGTCTGGACATTTGTTTATACAGACTATTTCATAGGGGAACAGTACCATCCAGATTAGCAAGGTTCTGCTGTACATCAGTCTGATTTTACAAATGAGCTGACCTCTTTATGTGTGTATCTCAATTTCTGATATCATTATATAATAGAGGCGCCATGGAGTACCCTAGAGGTTAAACCGTTCACTCGTCACCCCGAAGGCCCGGGTTCAATTTCCCACATGGGCACAATGCCCATTTATGGTGTCCCCTGCTGTGATATTGCTGGAATATTGCTAAAATATAGCTTAAAACCATACTCACTCATTTTATATCAGAGCAGTGATAAAAAAGAATTTATTCAGTGACAATTGGATTGCATTATTTTGTGATTGGTGTGTTTTGCTGTTTGCCAGATGCTTTATAAACATCTGTAGACAGATGCATGTACTTTTGGCAGATATTACCTTACAACTAATGCAGTTATGTTCTCATTATCATAACAACACTAGATACATATTGACTCTTCATTATGATGGCAATAAATAGCCTTACATTGTAGTGGTAGGGTAGCAACATTTGCCATTAGGCCACAATAAATAATCATCATATTTTCATCAAAATTGTAAAAATATGTCAGACAGTTGCCCTTCTTTATGTTAAAAGTATTTTGGAAAAAACTAATGCAACTGTGTACATTAGTTGTTGATGGATGTGAATTGGGGGATCATATCGAAGGGGTACTTCCTCAAGTAAAGAATCTGCAACGTGCAGGGGTTATCTTCGTCTACTGGTACACATGGTATTTGGTACTGAGGGAGGTGGGGATACAATCTCATTAAAATCAGATCTTAGTTCTCGCTACCGCTAAACAAAGATCTGAGGACATCCCATTAGGGGTCACGTCAGAACGACCTTTCATCCGAACAATCAGAGCGCTGCTTACCAGATCATGAAAGTGACAGTCGGAATGTGATTTCTAATCATGCAACCTTGAAAACTTAAACAAGGGGTATTCCGAAGGATAGTTACAGGCTGAATCCATACAATCTAGATCATCTATTAGCTATTCCAGAATGTTTTGTTCAAGTTTCAAGTTTTTAACGAGAATTTGTCAAAATATGTTTCGAAGCGTAGTGGCCAATTTGAAGTTAGTGCCATAAAGCACAAGAAAGCTGCCTTCTGATTGGCTAATGTCGACTTCTTGTCACTCATTCCATTGGTCAGTCAAAATTCGTGCAAGGTCGGTGTGATGTGATCCGGATTAGAGTGTCTTCAGATCTTTGTTTAGCGGTAGCGAGAACTAAGATCTGATTTTGATGACATTGGATGGGGATCAGTTTTTTTATTGTGGCATTATGAAGAGTTAATGTAATTTGATAGCATTCAGTAGAGACATCCATTCCAGCGTTAAGTTGTGTGGCGTTATAGCAAAGCATGGCATTTATTACACAGAAATTATCACGTTTTGAACAGCTTGCGTTGGAATGATTATGATGATTATCATAAAGGTTTGCAAACTATAGTTCCTTATATATATGCACACAAAACTCAAATGAAGTTAAAGAATCCCTGATTTTTTCAGTTACCATCATCAATCTGTCAGGGCAGGAAAGAATCAGGTGTTCTTTAAGGTATTTTTGTATAATTAATTTAAGTATAATGAAACAAAGATGAAATTGTATTTGTGTCGAAAAATATATTCCTGAAGCAAATATGATGCATATCTTTGTACAACATGGTGTCAACCATACGCTTATATTACTAAACAAATTGTGTAAATGTTTATTTTGATAACTATAAGCAAGCTGTGAGTTAGGAGACTTTGAACGGAAGAATGTGGTGTTTGTAATGAGTTGGATCTGACAGTCTCGGAGGACTTTTTTAATAATGTTGTAAAAATCTGTTGTCGAATTGTTTTGAACAAATTTAATTGAATTCCTCTTACTTTCAAAGTTGTCAAATATTAAAACTGGGAAAACATACATTAACTAAGTCACAAAATGTAACAAACATAAAATTTTGTTAATCTTGAAAATTATGAAAAAAAAGTCAAGTCGCTATTTTCTCAAAAACAAATAATGAAAAAAAACAACAACAAATACAACAAAGATCTGGAATTTAATTTTGTGTCCTTTTGATCCTCATTTTTCCATATAAATATGCTTGTTATAATGTAAATAAATACTTGATGTCTTTGACATAATCATGTTTAAACTCCTATCCTTGACAAGATATTACAACATAGGCTGAAAGAAAAATTGATGCACCATTGTACCAAAATATTAATGTCAATGATCATTGATGATCAGATATGCTACTTGTTTCACAAATTGTTTGGGTGCCACACCCTGCCGTGCAGAGTTGTGTCCCCTAGCAGAGTTGTGCCCCCTAGGTGTGACAGGATCCTATGACTGATGTTTCAAATCACAGACATTCCTTGATTATGATCCATCGTTTGGGCTCTCCATTCTCATTCTGGTGGGTTTCACTAACAAGGGTGGATCCAGCATTTTTAAAGTCAAGTTTACTGCCTACAACATATTACATTCCGTTTTCAATAGGAAGGGTTGGGCATACATGCACGCACGCATGCTGGTATAATGGAGTTACATTTTGGCTGGACTAACGAGTGTATGCATAGACCAATCAAAATTGCACAACAAAATCGAAATTCTGTTCAAAAACTGTCATGCAGATTTCAGTCGATTGCAGGATTTGCAAAGCATGTGCACCACCAACTTGTTGTTAATGCATATTTTTCAAATCTTATGTTTTTAATCAAGGTGTTCATGTGATTTGATGCACTTTGCAATGTAAGACCCTTTTTATCACAATATAGATCTTGATTATCAATCAGATCATCTTGACTGGGCGCCACCATTTGGTTTGAAGCAAATGCTAGTGATTCGAGAGGTGGAATCTGATCGGTCCATAGGAGAGGCATAGAAGGGACATAACTCGTAATAGCCACTGGTGGCGCTACGATTGAGCCCGGAAATTTCAGCCTAGTTCGGACTTTTAAAGTCAGTTAACACTCTTGCCTCAGGAAGATGACATCAAGCTGACACACCATGATATAACTGAAATACTGTTCACAGCAATGGTAAACCCAACTCACTCACAAACCTTTTATAAACCTCCCTTAAAATAGTCTACATATTTGTTCTAGTCACATCTTTAGCTCCGGTACACTACAGGTACACATGCTGAAAAGGCTGGTACTGAGTTTTTTAATTTTTTTACAAGTATTTTTAACGAACAATTCAAAACATATTTGCTAAATTGTCTTTTTTG